TCCACACTTTTGAAAAAAATAAAACATAATCTTTACATAGGAATTATCTTTGCACAAAACAAATGGACTAATAATCATTGAATTGCGAAATGCAGAAGTGTGTACGGCGTTTGGCAAAAGAGAATTTGAGCTATAATGAGCACATGGGACAGAAATCCTTTCTTCTGTTCTATTGTGCATGTGTGAATTGTAAATACTATTTTTCCACCAGAGATAATCGATGAATCTGTTTACATTTTGTTTTTGCATAGTTTTCAGGTGATGAGTTCTTTCTGATTGTGGTCAAACATGCAGTGCATGTTCATAGGAATGTATGAACAGCTACAGCATAAAAATAATGCCACTACATCTAGACCTCTTGTTCATATAGCTGATGACGATGTTCACATTTTATTTGTCGTACTCGTTTCTGTCAACATTTCCGCTTGACATTAAAGAGTAGGCCTATGTGTGCTCCCCTTCGGTCATAAGTATCTACCATGTGCTAAGATTTTTCTGTTTTGTCCACTTTTGGCAGATTTGCTAGAGGGACTATGTCACCTTGTTGTAATGTGATTACGGTTAAGAAGCATAACATTACACTACACGCGCTTGAAAAGTTATAGACATACTCTTTTATACATGAAATATGTTTTGCACAACAGAAATATGTTATATAAGTATAAGTATAAGAAATAAGTAGAACAAATACCTAATACTAAAATCCTCTCTTCTAAACTATTGTGAAAGTTTTTTAATGTTGATAGCGAGAGAGACCAGCTTCATCACTGTGTCTGTCACGCGACTCTGTTCCCCTTTCGGGCTCTGTCTTTACATTTATTTTGAAAGATGAAGCTCGCGATTATGGTAAGGGGCGTTACATTTCCGACGAGTGCTTGCGGTGTTCGGCCAATCACAATGCACTGGGTCAGCTGGCCAATCAGAGCAGACTGCGCTTGTCGGAAGGAGGGACTTTGTAGAAAATGAAGCGTTTGAGAGAGGCGGGGCATAGAGGACCTACAATAATGTACAGTATTTGAAAAAGAATGTGTTTTTTGAACATTAAAGCATGTCAACATATTCTGTTACACCAAATACACCAAATAATGATATTTAAAAAAAGCATCATATGACCCCTTTAAATGAATAGGATGTGCTCATCCTGCTCTCTTTCCCATGCAAGGATTAGCATGAATTTACGGAGAAATCTTAAAACAAAAACAGCCAAACAAACGAAATGTGAATTGTGTCATCTGCTGTTTGAACAAGATGACTAAATCTAGTGGAGTAATGAAAATATCATTTACCAATCCACATTTAAAAACTTTCACAATTGTATTCTGAATTCTATATGCAGTGTAAACATTTATTTTCTTGCTATACTCTCTTTCTTAGTGATTTGGTCGCTTGAATGTACGAAAGGTTATGGATAAAATGTATCTACACAAGAGTGTGGAAACTTTAACATGCTCAAACTTAAATGAATGTGCAGCTTTCAGTGCAATAGTTTGATTGGTTTCAGCTGTAATAGTTTTAAGGGTAAAACAGCTAGACTTAATTTTGTGTTGATGCTTCACGTGATCGCACATCGTGGACAGACACAAAGTTGCACTAAATGAAATATCTCGAAGAGAAAGACTGTTACTTAATTTCTTAATTTTAATTTATTCCTATTATGATGACAGCTCACAAAAAGATGTGTTTGTCACAAACCCATCCAAAGAGTTTTCTACTCATGTGAGAAAAGCAGTTGGGCGCATTTATTTTCTAAAGAAACAATAGTGGTCATCAGTCTATTTAAAGAAAATTAAAGACATTAGACAGCATGCCTTGCTTTAGTAACACAATGTGTTTAACCTTTTAATCATGTTTAAAATTGTAGGTGTAATTATTTTACTGACATTTTAAGCTAAATTTATATTTGTTCTTTTACAGTACACATACTATCAACAGGCTAGATTAAAATGAAAACATTTCTTAAATAACAACAAAGTAGAAAAAACATATACGACTTTGCTCATACTTAAAATGTAGTATACTCAGATGTGTGTGTGTGGTTCAGGTATACCGCTACATTATGGGGAACAAATATGGCGATATCCAAAATCCTTGTGGGGACATTTTTTTGTCCCCGTGAGGAAACAAGCTTATAAATCATACAGAATGAAGTTTTTTTAAATCTTAAAACGCACAAAGTTTTCTGTAAGGGGTAGGCTTATGTGCAAGGTTGGTGTATACACTCTTAAAAATAAAGGTGCTTCACGATGCCATAGAAGAACCTTTTTGTCTAAATGGTTCCATAAAGAACCTTTAACATCTGAAGAACCTTTCTGTTTCACAAAAGGTTCTTTGTGGCGAAAGAAGGTTTTTCAGATTATAAAAAGGTAAGAAAGAGATGGTTCTTTAAAGAACCTTTGACTGAATGGTTCTTTGTGGAACCAAAAATGGTTCTTCTATGGCATCGCTTGAAGAACCTTTTGAAGCACCTTTATTTTTAAGAGTGTAGGGTGATGGAAAATACAGTTTGTACAGTATAAAAACCATTACGTCTATGTAATGTCCCATAAAACATGGAAACCCTACGTGTGTGTGTGTGTGTGTGTGTGTGAGAGAGAGAGAGCCCAAAGAATCAGCCAAAGTGTTAATTCATTGTCTAAAGCAGGGCTTATTTAAAATTTGTTTGTCTTTTCACATCATGTTATGTACTTTGACGTCTTTTAAACAATATTGTTCAGCACAATGGTCACCCATTGTTGTTTTATTGTGCTTTATAAATAAATTGAACTGAACTGAACTAAAGCATGATTCTGTGCACATAGATATGAGGTGAATGTTGTAAAGCCATTAACACAAGCACATAGAGGATACTCGCATACACTGTCAGTTAGACCCCACAACCACCTTCACTGTCAGAAGTAAAAGGATAGGTGAGGTGGACTTGGTGGATAGTTGGTGGTTTGAATAATGTTTAACTTAAGACTCCTTCTCATAAGTTTACCTAATCGGCCTACAGATTAGGTTGTACTGATCCTACAGAGGTGTTAGCATACACACATACAGATGAGGTAGAAAGAACATGCCCAAACATACCACCTTTTCAGAAGCATATAGAAAGTGTGATGGGTACTGGTCTTGGTGAATTCTTTAATTCTATGTTTTAGTTTTCCGTTTTTAGGTGCTTTATTGGCATGGAAAATATTTTGTACATTCGTATTGCCTGAGCATTCCAGTATTGTTGCAAACAATCAAAACAGTGATGTCTTAGCTATCAACATTTAGCCTATAGATTGAGCAGAACTAAACCGTTTAGGGGTTTGAGACGGACACGTGTCTGGATATCTTCCAACCCACACACAAAGCACATCCCCGTTAACAAACATATTAAAACATTATATCGAACACCGACTACATCACGGTAGGAAACAGATAGGGGAGAAGCTTTGGGTTCTGGTGTCTAGACACCAATCCACCAAAGGTGTTGACCTAAAACACAAACACAACATCTCTTTTGATCTTTTTGATTTACACACCCCACTATCATGTCAGTCAGGGGTGACAGGACCCCGGTGATAGCCATATAGCCATAAATCAGGTCATAAATCTGATCATATACACATTTGACATATGACAACCTGTCAATCAACGCTGACAGGGGTCATAAATCAGGTCATAAATCAGGTCATAAATCACCAATCTGACACAAAGTGTATGGTAATACTACTCAGTATGTCAGGCCTATTTTTTTTTATATCAGGTCTATTTGGAATGCAAATAGACATTTTTTTCAAAGAAGTATTAAATATCTATGTAATAATATAATTATTATTATAATAATAAATAAAATTATATAAATTAAAATTGTGTAATTATGTCAAAAACATTACAAAAATAAAATAAATATCTGTATTTCAAAATATTTTAAACATTTTCTAATTATTTTCACAAACTGTGAATATACTGTACACACTCTAAAAAATGCTGGGTTAAATGCAACCCAGTGCTGGGTAAAATAGGGACAAACCCAGCAATTGGGTTGTTTTGACCCAGCGGTTGGGTTTCTACCCAGAAGATTGGGTTAAACATTTAACCAAACCGCTGGGTCAAAACAACCCAATTGCTGGGTTTGTCCCTATTTAAGCCAGCACTGCGTTGTATTTAACCCAGCATTTTTTAGAGTGTACAATTAAGTAATTACAAAAAAAAATATGAGTAACAAAAATGATTCCATATGTTTACAGGTAGTGTATATACAGGCATATGAATAAATACATATTTAATAGCCCATATTTTAATTGAAGATATGTCACATACTGTGAATTCAAATGGAATGTTTTCACTCAATATCTGGGTTTTAATGAATATTGAAGATGTCTAAAATGCACATCTAACTCATGGAATTACTGAATAATAACACCATGAATTACAGTAAGCATTAAATAATAATAATAATAATACTAGTAACAACACGTCACTCTGGGCCTTTTGTGTCAATTCTTTTTTATCCCAGAGCTCTTATTTAAAGGGGTCATATGATGCGATTTCAAGTTTTCCTTTCTCTTTGGAGTGTTACAAGAAAATGTTTTTTGAACATTAAAGCATGTCAACATATTCTGTTACACCAAATACACAAAATAATGATCTTTAAAAAAGCATCATATGACCCCTTTAAATTTTTCACTTCAGAATAAAATCAATATTTAAATCTTAAAACCTTAATAATGTGCCCACAAATTCCTAATTAACAAACAGACACAGAATTACATAATTGTACATAAAACTACATAAACCTTCGACTGACTAAATGTTACAACTGTTGATATTCAGATAATAATACAAAACAGCCATTCATCAAATGTGTGAGATTTTTTTCCATCCAAGGTCAAGAGAAAAGACCCTTGCGCACTCAACTCTAATATTCGACTTATTTTAGCTCTGCATAGTCACTAGCTCACTGACAGAAGTCCCAAAACAGTGACCTTTATACCTGACCTGCAAACCCCGCGAGCTGCCGGACTGCTGCAGCGACACCTATCGGTGGACTCGAGTTACTGCATCTCCGTCGGCATTGTCACAAGCGAACACTGTGACGATTAGAGCCAACATGGCGGAGAGCGAGAGCTTGGAGACTATCACCGAACATGAGCGAATATTACAAGAGATCGAGAGCACGGACACGGCGTGCGTGGGGCCGACGCTACGGTGAGAGATGAGCATCGTCTGCTCTTATTTACCCTTCAGATGGCGATGTGATGTTTTCTCCTGTGCGATGGATGGAAAGCAGGCCTTTGTTTGCTAAAGATGCAGCTCATTGCTGACAAGTCTATCAAATAAAGTGCTGCTCGAGTCGATGTGAATGGGTGTTTTTCCATATGAATTCTTTGAGTGACACAGGCTGCTAATCGCTGTTTTCCTGTCATTCATCGAGTACGACTGGGGGATGTTATGTGTGGATTATCTGTAATAATTTGCTAAGCATCTGTCTGCCTGTCTTAATAAAATAAGATGCAAAGCAGCACATGCCCAGTGATGGTCTCACTGCGTTATGAATATGATGGAGCTGTCGACAGGTGGAAAATGGACGCCTCTGTCAGGTTCAGTTCTTCTGTATACAGTTCATTTCCTTTTCCCAACACATTTCAGCTGCGGAAGAATGAAAGCTGACAAAATATGAGTGGGTGTGGCGTTAGTAAATGAGTCTGGGTTGAGCTGGACATTAATATTCCACTCTGAGCTCAGGTTGATCTCCTCATGTGATCTGTGTTTGAGTAATTTCAGTAGAAATCATGACTGCACTCACAATTTGATGATTTCAGCACAGTTGCATTTCATTGTGTGTTTCATATATCAGTAGAAATCATAACAGCACTCACAATTTGATGATTTCAGCACAGTTGCATTTCATTGTGTGTTTCATATTTCAGTAGAAATCATAACGGCACTCACAATTTGATGATTTCAGCACAGTTGCATTTCATTGTGTGTTTCATATTTCAGTAGAAATCATGATTTCGTGATGATGCTTTTTATTCCAGTAAAGATTTGCTATCTTTAGCTTTATTATTTCTGACTAAATCATGATTTCGTTAGCACTCGGCCATCTTTCGCAGTATGATTTCTGATAAAATCATTATTTTGCTGGCGCTCAACTGCGTCCGGTCATAAGATCTTTGGCTTCATGATTTCTGATCAAATCATAATTTTGGTAGCACTTAGCCATGTCCCATTATGAGGTCTCTGGCTTTATAGTTTCTGATCAAATTCATGATTTCGGTAGTGCTTATTAGCCGTGTCCAGTCATGAGATTTTTTTCTTCATGATTTCTGATCAAATAATCATTTTGGTAGTACTCCGCTGCGTCCAACCAGGAGATTTTTTGGCTATAGGATTCAGTAACTCTCAACTACATCCCATCTCATGACATCTTTGGCTTAATGATATCTGACAAAATTATGATTTTTGTAGCACTCAGCTGTGTCCCATAATGAGATCTTTGGCTAAATGATTTTGAATAAAATCATGATTTCTGTAGCACTCAGCCCCATCCTGTGATGAGATCTTTGGCTTTATGATTTCTGGTCAAATCATGATTTTGGTAGCGTTCAGTTGGGTCCCATCATGACATTTTTGACTTAATGATTTCTGAGAAAGTCAGGATTTCAGTAGCACTCAGCTGCGTCCCATAATTAGATCTTTGGCTTTATGTTTTCTGATGAAGTCGTGATTTTGGTAGCGCTCAGCCGTACCCCGTCATGACATATTTGGCTTCATAATTTCTGATAAAATCATGCTCATGTTTCTTATGAATGTTTTCAGTAGCACTCAACTGTGTCATGACATCTGTGGCTTCATGATTTCCCATCCTGATGTCTTTGGCTTTATGATTTCTGACAAAATAATGATTTCAGTAGCGCCCAGCTGCATCCCATCATGATATCTTTGGCTTAATTGTTTCATTTTATTAGAATTTGTGATTTTGTGAATCATGGTCTCAGTAGAGCTCAGCTGCATTCATTGTAAGGTGTTTGGCTTGATTATTACAGTAGAAATCATGATTTCAGCAGAACTCAACTCAAGTTGATGTCTCATCTGAATCTTAATATAATTGTAAATATTGGAAGAAATCTGTTAACTGTTAAAATTCTAGTTGTCCTGCAGGCTATAACCTAAACCTCTAGAAGCCATGATTCACTTTGTCTTTTGTTGTGATTCAAATGTTTGAAAATGTCTTTACTGTTATGCAACAGAAGTTATGACTCGTTTTACACAGTTCATCTGTTGATATTGAACTAGTGAGCGATTCATTCATTTGGACATGAACCAAACCAGCTGTTGATAGCAAGCAGGCATGCAAATTTCAACATTCCGGTGCATGCAACACATCCTGAGGCCACATGTTCTGTGCTGACTGTCACACTGATTGTTACAGATATGACAGCTTTTCTCATTCCACAGATTTCAGATATGCTACCTAGCACACATGCCATGTTGTTTACATACAGTAATGGCAGCAAGTCTTTGAAGGAAAGGCTCACCTGCTTTTCACAGTTATACCTTGTAAGCTCAAAGGGGTGCAGGGAAAGTGCTTTATCATGCAGTCTGTTTTTCCATTTGGGTTGCAGTATTAATAACTTAAGGGATTTTGATGCAACGCAACCTTTGGTGATTTTCCCAGGACACTTTTGATTTGGCTGACTGAATCAGAATCATATTAGATTGAAATTAAACCTACATTATTTTTAATTGAATGGTGTGCCCATCAAGTAAGAAGTAACATAAAAACTAGGACTGCACGATAAATCGCATGCGATATTTAACGCGCATCTTGTCAGAAAGCAGGTTCTGTAATCAGCGGTAAATCTCCATCACCTGCGTGCGTTCACATTGAGCAGCATTAACTACACAGAGCCGTTGTTCACTGACAGGCTGCGCAAAAAATCGCGCGAATATGAACGTGGTTTTGCGCAACTCGTCAGTGAACAACTGCTCAACAATTGTTAAAGCGCAACTAGTTTGTTTGGCCTTCCAAAAGAGGACGATATCCGCTTCGTCATGCCTAGAGCTGATCCGTGCTGGTCGCTGAGGGAATACATCAACTTCGTTCTCTGGATCGCCGGATCGGCTTTCACCGTGGATGAAGCAGAGTCCAGCCCGGGGTCATCACATGTGGTTGCCGCAAGCCTGCCGGACGCTCCTTCGTCGAATCCGTCGGCCGCGCCGTTCTCAAGCCCGCCCGCCTCCGCTCACTCTAGCCCGCCGTGTGTTTCGTTGTGAAAGCGAAACTACTTTGTTTGGCCTTCCAAAAGAGGACACGACTAGAAATCAGTGGTTAAGTTGTATTTACAACACTGTTCCAGAACACTTCAACCCAAATATTCAGATGTGTGCAGCACATTTTATGGAGAACTGTTTCCTCATCCTGGGAGAGTAGACTACAATACCGGCTGTTCTGACTCACAGACTGTAATTACGCTTTCATTTAAAGCATTTGCCACTGAGGATTCAAACGCGAGTTTTGAGCAGTGTAGAGTAGCACTTGTTGTTTGTCATTTCTCCGATCACAAATGCAGACATGGTTTTATGTTTTACGTGGCGAGATGCACTCGTCGCTCCGGCCGGGACACGCCATCACAATATGGCAAGGGGTGTAACCTTTCCACCACACACTTGAGGTATTCGGCCAATCACAACGCACTGGATAGCTGGCAAATCAGAGCACACCTCGCTTTTCAGACCGATGAGCTTTGTAAAAATCGACGCGTTTCAGAAAGGCAGGTCATAGAGGAAAAACAATAATGTACATTATTTGGTAAATAATGTGTTTTTTGAACCTTAAACCACATAAACACATTTCATTACACCAAATAATGTTCTTTTTAGCAGCATCATATGACCCCTTTAAACATTATTTGACCATTATAACCATAAGCATTATTTATTTATTTTTTTTAAAAAGTGTATAAAAGACAAGTTTTCAAACCAAATTTGCAAGGTGATTTTTTTTTTTCATGAATATTTGTTGCTTATATTTATTGTGTTTAAACATGTCTGCGAAAGATTGTATTACTGTACTGTGTAAAAAAAGAATTGCAATGCTGAAAAAGCATTTTCAGTGACAATGTTTGGATTTGAAATCAAGATAATGGAATGGTTATAATGTTGGAATAAATGTTGTGTTTGTGGTAAACAGCCACAGATCAGTAGCGGACTCCTGTGTGAAAGCTGCTTCCCCTCTCACAAGAGTCACCTAAGAGGGGAATTCAAAAATGAAATTCAGGCCCTGAATAAATGTCTAAAAATCCTGATTGAAGTAATTTATTAAATTATAAAAAGAAGGCTTTAAAAAGATCGGTATCGGTGATCGGTATCGGTATGGGCAGATACTGCTTTCTGTGATCGGCCTCAAAAATCCTGATCAGAGCACCCCTAATGAGGATTCTTGAGTTCATTACATTTGACCGCCTGCACCTTACCACGTCATAAAAATGTCAAATTATCTGCTATTTTATAATATTTTTAATATGAATCAAATTAAAGTTCACCCTATATATTTTCTGAATGCATATTTTTGATATGTAAGTGACAAAATGAGTTTTAATGTAAAAATATAGCTATTCAGACCAAAGAACTTCTTGCTAGAAAGCGGTTTGTGACACAAAACAGCCTTTATGATTACATGCACTGTGTTCGTACGTTTTCTTAACCCAAATATACGTGTTGTACAAGCAGCTTTCTCTATACCTTTACGTTACTTTAGCTACGTTATCTTCAAAAACCCGTAAAAAATGTCATTTATGCGTGTACATGATCACATGAACTGTTTTCTGGCAAAAACCTGTGTGGTAAATCGTTTTCTCTTAAAGAAGATATTTTGAAGAATCTTGTGACCAAGCAATTGGTAATAGCCATGGACTTCCATAGTATCTTCTTTTGTTTTCAACAGAAGAAAGACAGAAGGAAATGACTGCATTTTTCTCTTGACTGAATCTCTTTAATTAAACGGCTTTAGGAGAACATTTCACATTTACATGATGATTCAGAATGCTTTTGCTTTCTGCAAAAACCCTAGAATAAACCTTATTTCTTAAGTGTATGTAAACACAGTGATTGACCCTCATTCACGCTCATGTTGCAATAGGGTGTAGTTTGGTTTCATTTACTGCCCTGTGGTGGTAAGTTGTAGATGTATGTAGATGTATAATGATCTGTGCTTTGTGTTTGAGCTGTAAGAGGAGAGCCTTGACTGTTTCTGTTTCCTTCAGTGCCTCCTGGCAGTTGTCCGGAACTTGCTGCTCTTTGGTCTGTTGAATTCAATAACAGGAAGGAGGAAACTCATTGTGAACATGGCCATGCTGATAGTAGTTCTGTGTGCATGTGTGCAGATTTGCAGAAAGGATATCCCATTATGGGGCGTAATGTGACCTTCTGAAAGGCAGTGAAAGTGGTACTGATTTTAGAAAGCTTTGAGTGTTTTCAGTAGAAATTGGCCCTCGGCGTTTTCCATCGGGGTGACAGGAAAGGGCCTGTTAATCTAACAGCCTATCACACAGCAGAAATAAACGTGACAACCGTCAGTCAGTGCATGTTGCTAATAAAACTGCATGTTTTGCATGTCTCTGTATGAATGACTGCCACGGTTTCGTCTATTAACTCAAACACATGCAATGCTCACTGTGTTTTCAGTGTCTGATGTCTCACTATATGGGGACATGAACACATGCTTTTTTTCATCCATGTTTTAATTTGTACAGTTCTGTTGTGCAAATCTTATTTGACAAAAAATAAACTTGTAGTTTTTTGTAAATTGTCACATTTATATTTATTACAGTTTAAAAGATTGATTAAATTAAAGTTATATTAATTTCATTAGAGACCATTTTTGTTAAATTTATATTAAATATTTTATTATTTATTATATATATATATATATATATATATATATATATATATATATATATATAATATTTTATTATATTAAAAAAATAAAATATATTTTAAACAATTTAGGGAAAAATAAAATTTTCATTAAAAGCTATGTCACTCTGTGGAGTTCAGTTGTGAACATACAAGTTATGTTTACTTTGATTCTCAAGAGCTAACAAACATGTGGTAATCTTTTTCTTCCCCGTTAAGGGTATAAATGAATATCATGATAAATATAGCTAGCACCTAGCCTGAAAGCAAAAATGTGAATTAGTAACGAAAATTGTTGTTAATTCGTTTTTTTTTCTATTTCATCACTGATAATGAAGACTTGACAAAAAGGGCATAATTATAATTAAAAACAATTATACTTGAAACATGCTGCTGGTATAGAGTGTAACAGTTGGGTTCCAGAAGTAAAAACTTTCTCCATAGGGAAATTGATTTTAACAATAACTAATAAACCTTTAATGACAGACCTATTGTGAGCTATGAAGGTGTTAATTGTTGATGTATGCATTTATTGAAACCTTTCTTTCATATTCATTCATTCATTCATTCATAACAGCTGAATACTGGACCTGTAGCTCAAAAAGTAGAGCATGGTGCTAGCAACCCCAAGGTCATGGCTTCGATTCTCAAGGAATGCATATATATATATATATATATATATATATATATATATATATATATATACATTGATTGC